GATGACTATTAGATCGTACAGTGGACATTATAATTAAATCCTCTTCCCCACCCTGGAACCCATCAACCGTCTTCACCTTAACTGTAAATCCATCAATCTTGTCATACTTCTGTCGAAGTCTGTCCTGAACTGCAACTACTTGAGCAGCGTAGGGTGATACCACCCCAATACTGAGTTTTTGTTTTGAAACAATCCATTCTATATTCAAAGAGAAAGCAAACAAGAAAAAATTTCAGTGTAATCCAAACAAAAACAAAAAAATACCCTTGACACCCTAAAATGTTCCAGACCACCAAAAAAAATTGATGCAGAGAAAACTTAAACAGATTTCAACATTACTTACTGTTCAATAAACCTTACAAGCATATAAAATAAAACACGTTGGAAATCAAAATCATTGAAAACATTGAATTAAGAACATGAACATGGCTCCCCAGCTAGACATACCTTTGTACAGATTGCGCAGTATTTTCACAATAATAGCAACCTCCACCAAATTCTTTCTACTATGTCCATCCTCATCCTTCTCCTCTCTTCCACCAATTACATTTATAAAAGAAAAAGGACCAAACATTGACCCTGGAAGATAGTATTTCTCATGGCTTCGTTTTTTAACATTTGGAGCATCTAGGATCTGGTTATTATAGAAATTTGAATTTGGGAAGAAACTTATTGAGGGATGCATTCTGTATTGCATATTCAGAAGGTGTTTTGAGTGACCCAATGAGCTCAACCTCTCAAACAAGCTTCTTGAAAAACCAGCCTCATTGGAAACCTTTGGAAGATAAGAAGTTGGATATAAACACAAATGAAAAAGAAGTGGAATGAAAAGTTGCAATAAGAGAAAGAAAGGATATATATATATATATATATATATATGTTTGTGTGTGTGTGTGTGTGTATGACCAAGTAGCATCAACGTACATTGCTTTTCACCGTAGCTGGTAACTGACATTCATCACCAACAAGAACAGCATGCTTCACACCTGGAAGTTGCAGGGGTATTGTTGATTCACATTCTTTCAATTGTGCAGCTTCATCAATAACAACAAGGGTCAGTGGCTCCATTTCCACTCTATGCAGCTTATAGGAACTTGACGCAGTGCAAAATATTAAGGAAGCTCTTTGAAAACAGAATTCCTTTAGAGATTCTTCATTTCGAACATTTGGAAGGATAAGTCCTCTAAGAGAATCCTGTAGAGAACGTAATATTGAAAGGCATTCTCTTCTCTTCATGCACAGCAGAAACGAGTTATCTATAAATGAGTCAGGCACATCTTCAACTTCTGAACGAGTGAAAAGGTGTTCCAATGCTTCAGAAACAACATTACCTTGCAACAATAGTAATTCAATGGAATCCACTATGCCTATGAGCGAAATCATGTTTTGGAAATTATGTACCGAAATGTAATTTTTGGCTATATGGGTACAGAAGGTAGAAATGCAATATCTTAGCGGTAATGCAGTAGAAACAAATCTATCTCTGAAGAATTCAAGAAATGATTTGCACTTCCCCTTGAAAACTTCAGTGTCAATTCTGCATTCTTTCTCTTTCGCTTCACCAACACCATTATCTTCTTTCTCTTTGGTTAACTCGTTTTCCAAGAAAATATGGTAATGAGAAACACAATCTTCAAGAAAATCTATCATGGAAACAAAGCAACTCCTCCAACCAGTCACTGGCCCCAAGCACTCACCTAGCTTTCTGACACGGTAATTCAAATATATATTTTCGATGTGTGGACCCACTTTGAGTCGCTCGTTATTCCCAAATAGAAGAACTTCTCCCAAAGAACAGAACAAAGAATTGGACTCTGCTTCAGTTACCATCTTTAGAACACGAGAAGCAACTTCAGTTATTGCAACATTTGTTGGGGCACATATAACAGTCCTACAATTCATCCGTAACAGAGTTAAAAGCAGAGTAGCAGTGGTTTTAGTTTTTCCTGTCCCAGGTGGACCCCATATAAGTTGCACAGTAGACTTGGAATCACAACGCAGCATTTCAAGACAGGCCAAAACTGCCCCAGTTTGGGATTCATTCAATCCAGATGATAAACTCTCAACTAACCACTTATCCCGGATGCCATCATTCCTTTCAGAATAGAGATAATTGTTTCTCTGAGCCTGTTACCAAACATAAGATTTTCAGTCAATCACAACAACAAATGCCATTGTTCTTGTTACACTTGAAGGAGGATGATAATGTGTCGCAATTACTAGAGTATTATATTTAGTTATGACAAATGTAATACAATGATAATTTAGTACGATGTGTGGTGGATACTACATTACATCTTTGGATCATGTATGATGTATGGTTCGCATATCATGAATTGAATAGGTCCCATTTTAGTTAAGGCAATGCTAACTCAACTGAACAAAACCTACAATATTGATCTTAAGGTCTTACCAGAGAATCAGCGCACAAAACTTTCTTGATAATCTGCAGATTTCCAGACATGTTCAACGCTTTCCATATTCTGCTATTAGGGATTAAATTCACCAGGAAAACCAAAAATAGTGATGTATGAGTGCTATCGTTGACTTCAAACTCTTTGGATGCCTTGACTTTAAAATAAAGAGAAGTACTATCATCCTCGTTCTCATTTTCTGAGACATTAATGACTGAAACAAAAGCCCAGGACCTCCCTACCCTTTGTAAATCAGAAACTGTTTCGGGTTTGGCATCTGCTAAGACAAAAAGATCCCCAGGCAAAGTTTTATATGGTTCCTTGCCACGATCACTGAACCTGTTTTTCCAGCAATCAACCCTGATATCATATACATTTTCCCCATATGGCCCATGAGGATTGCATTCTTCAAAACCAACCACTTCAGCAAATGGTACTCTGTCAATAGTTTCCATACTTGAATGCACCTGTGCTCGAGTTTCTTCCAATAAAGGATATAAATAAGACCCAAAATATTGCCAAACCGAATGGAATGTTTCAGGAATTATTTCCACCTGAAACAGTAAAAAAGGTTCAGAATAAGATGACAAACTATAGATGACATTCTTGAGGAAACGTTAACAAGGAGCAAGAAAATACCTGGTTCTTGTAAAGATTTTCATTGGAAATGTCTTCAAGCGACCAAGAAAACACAATATCAGTGAAACGTTCTGTTTTAGCTTCCGCCATCTTCTCTCACTCAGACTCAGTCACTTTCTCTCCCACACTAGGCTTTTCTTATATGCATTCAGTGTAAAGCATATGACTTTGAACCCGGTTCAGAAAACCCACTTCAATAGAGATTAAAGGACATTGGATTTCTTAGCCACAAAGCTAGGCAGAGAGAAAGAAGATATGATCAGTATAGATCAAAAGAGAAAAAAAAACAAGAAAAAGAGAAGTCTAGGAATCTGGTAATAGTACGAGCACTGCCATGCATTACAAGAAAGAGATATATATTATAGCATTTAGCAACCCTTTCGCCCAAAACAGAAGGCAAATTCCATTCAGCAATCAAAGAAACGTGAAAAGAGAAATGGTATTCAGGGTTTCTAAACTTAGAGGGGAAGTTCTTTTGAACAATTGGTTAGTCCGCACACCTTGACCATTTGTCCTTTAAAGGTCCTCTCTTTACACTTTCATATTATAAAATGCAAAAAGTATTCGGACAGTCAAGACTTAACCAGTCATAGGATGACGAATCCATCATTTATTTATTTTATTTTATTAATAAAAAAGTGGATTTATAAAACATAAAATAAAAAAGAAACAATTTTTTAAGATTCTTCAGACCACACATCTCCTTTTTTCGAAACATTATTATATATGTACGTTTTGGATTGCTAATTTTTTATTATCTTCAATTCAATGCACACACACTAATTCCTTCTTAAGATAAAACACTCGTGTGCTTCGTCTTCCAAAGTACACAACATTTTAACTAGATTTGAAAATGATCAAAACAAATCTAAAACTCTTCCTTTTAATCATAGCAAGTATTTCTCCTTTAAATTATGAACTACATCTCAATTAATTGCTGAAGTTCGTTATTCACAAGTAATTAATCAACACCGGATAATTTCAATCTACTAGATAAAATGCGAGATGTAGATAATTAGTAAGAAAGTATCCGTAAAAATGCAGTTTTCATGCATTAGAAATCAAATGTTGACATATACCTGTGAAGAATCAACGATGGTAAGCTGATGAACTTGTCTGTCTTTCTCCTTGGTTATTACTAGTAAATCTTTGCCTAATTACTCTACTTATTGTTCCCAGTTGTTATTTTATCTTTCTTAAGAGCATCTCCAACCGATGCGTCAAAAATGTCACATAAACATTAACAGTTAGAAATAACATCTCAGATCACTCCAACCGATGTGTCAAAGCTGACGTGGAATGAAGGCTGGAGGTTAAGATGTTATTTTTGACATCTCAAAAGCAATATGTCAAATGAATTTTTATTTTTTTTAATTAAAAATAAGTCAACACTAAAATGTAATAAAATAATAATTTAATATGACATATCGGATGGAGTGTAAAGTTATGTAAGATGTCAAATTGCCACATCAACCATCAAATTTTTGGTATTTGACATCAACAGCATTATTAACGTGGAGAAGTGGAAAATGCGGTCTCAAGAGTGTTCCATTCCAACTTCCAACAAATACATGGAGAAGCTCAATGGTTGGGGATTGGTCCCTGTTTAGCCAATAGCAAACAAGGCATGCTAGCATAAATATTAATGCATGTATTCAAATTAATGAGCAATACTTGCTGCCCAGAATCCATGGTGATCAACCTAAAATAGTAAATTTTCTTTGGTATTCAAGAATTATTCGATATCCATGTCGATCCGCGATTAATGAAGTTTTAAGATATTGCCACAGTATATATTACAAAAAATTAATAATAACCTAAAGTTACTCCAGATTGTTTGAGGTAACTCGAACCTTTTTCTAAAGCTTTGTAAGGGGTAAAGTGCTCTAAAGTTCAAATACGAAACAAATTCAATGAGGGGAAAAGAAAAAAATGAGAAAGACTTAATTATGAGTGCATGGAACTTAACAATTTGAGAGCCAAAGCTTCTTGTTCCGCTAAAGATACCGAGTCAGGCTTGAACCCCAGTTTATTCTTACTTTCTTCTCTCTCACCCTCATCATCACTATCAAAGTATATCTTTGACCTCTTGTGGGGTCGATCCTCAGATGGCTCTCCTTCTGAATCAGAAAGATCATCATCCTCCTCTTCTTCTATATTTCCTCTCTTCTGCTTCAACTTATCCTTCATTCGTTTTTCACGGCGACGCTGGCGGTCCAAATCCTTGTCTTCCTTGTCCACCTTCTTCAAATCTTCTCTAAGCTTCTTATAATATTCGGTTTTCTTGTCTGCACCAAAAATAAGAAATGTAAAGACAACACTTTCTCCAGAATAGGACACAAAAATTCATAAATGTATTTCTTTTCTTCTTTTTTTGGTCAAATTCATAAATCTATTTCTATTTAGCTCAATTGTTCATTTCGATGGAAGGGCACCACCCCAATTATACGTCATGTTTATAATATTTCCAAGGCAAGGCAAGGCAAGTAATAGGCTAAAGGTAAAACGCCATCTTTTTTCAACAGACCTCAAGGTTTAGTTATTTTCCTCTTTTATTCCCCAGAGAACAATTCTTCAGATCATAGCAACGTCTTCCACCAATTACTTCTTGGCACATTATTCTGTTTTTATTTTTGTTGGAAATTACAGATTTATAATACATACCTTCAATCTGATCAAGCAGGCCACTGACATTTTTGGTGTCAGCCAGCTTCGCTAGTGGCGGTTGCATGTTGCCTTCCTCATCAAAGACAACTCTAGTTCCCACTGGCCTATTGATATTGATCTTTAACTTCTTTTTCTTTGAAATCCGAGTTGCCGGTCTACAAGGGAAAAAACGAATAATGAACTCAAATTTCACTAACAAAATAGAAAGCAAATGACACATAATATGTCAGTCAGAATTTTGTAAGCTAATTGTTAGGGACATGCATAAAACGTAAAAGACAAGCAACTTACATAAGATCTCCAATTTTTCTTCCTTCCTCCTCTGCTTCATTTTCTCTATCATTTGTTAGAAGAGCATCTTTCTCCCCCTCTTCCTTAAAATCACCAATATCAAGCTCTTCTTTAGGAAGCTCCAATTCATTCTCCGTGTCCAAAATTTCTGGTTCAACAATGGGAGATAGTTTGGACACTTTCTTTGACTTGATTTTCGTGTTTAAAAAACGGATTTTGGGGGTCATTGGTAGACCTATTGATGCTGAAAATTCATCAATTGGTAGTTTCATAACATCAAAAATCTCTTTGTCCTTCTGATTGTGAACCGACTTCAGATACGTGATAAAGGCCCTTTTAGCCAGACCCTGAAGCGTATCCGGGTACTTGACCAGCAAAGCTGCTAACAACCCAGACACCGGTTGCATTCGTCCCTCATTATGCTGAGAAAGAATTTTTAAACAGCTAAATTAGCCTGGCACACAAATCAAAATGGGAAAAATGAAAAGATGAAGTGGATAATAGACTCCCCCCCACCAAAACAAAAAAAGAAAGAAATAAAACCTTTAATTTCTTTATGGGTATTTTTGCTGCTTGTAATTTATCAAGCATTTTTTCTTCTGAAGGCGTCAGGAATAAAACTGATCGCCCAGAAGAATCATAGCGAGCAGTTCGGCCAACTCTATGTATGTAAGATGCAACATCTTCTGGACAATCCACCTGCACATGGGAAAAAGTATTTTACAAAGGAAAAATAAAAAACTGCGACCCAGTCAAATGATATTTTGATTATTTATGTTATAATATAATAACCCAGTCACCTGAACAACCCAGTCAACTGCCTTGTTGAAATCAAGGCCTCTCGAAGCCACATCAGTCGAGAAGAGAACTGAATGCTTTTCAGTAAACTGTGAGTATGTTCCCATTCGTCCCTCTTGCTTCATCTTACCATGAAGACACTTCAAGGGTGTTCCCGGACGGAGCTTTTTAAATGCTTCAAAGACAAATTTTACCTATTAAAAAAGCAATTCAACATCATCAAGAAGTAAAATTGGAGGTGAAACATGCACCCCAATTATGAACCTGAGTAAATTTGGCGTGAGTGAGAGCAACACAATTTGGAGTAAGAGAAAAAATTTCTTTGTACTAAATGACTCGAGTAACTTAGGAGAAAACTACATTCATTATACATGTATGTATGTATGTCTACAAAGATCATAAACTAGAATTTAATGATATGATCAAAATTTCCATGCTGACTTGTGCAGGGAAGAGGGGGGGAGTTAACAACAATATATGATTTACATGGAGAACAATGAATTCAAACTCTAAAGACCAGTTCAAGTGTGCATCTGTTGATTCAAGTTCAAAGTTCATTCATTGAACTAGATAATTGATTCAGTTGGCCACATTGACTGATTTGCCATTACAAGGGCTTAAGCTGGCCTCAAACAACCAGATGAACTCAGATGTTGCATATATTATGCAGACATTATCAGGCATGACATATAGGCATCTGAGCTACAAGCACATAATTCAAAAACAAAACCGCACCTGTTTTCGGGTTGATAGAAACACTAAAATCCTAGAATTTAGGTGTGTCTTTATGAAGCTCCACAGCAGGTCTAACTTTTGGTCAAGAGGAACGATGATTGCCATTTGCTGCAAATTCTTAGGAGTGGCTGTCACTGACTTCTCATGCACACTGAGATACTCTGGATCCTTCAAACTGAGTCTTGCAAGATGTTGAACCGACTTTGTTTGAGTTGCTGAGAACAGAAAGGTTTGTCTTCTGTTGGGTAGCTGTGAAATGATTGCATTCAGCGTCGCCTCAAATCCCGAATCAAGACAACGGTCCGCCTCATCAAGGACCAAAACCTGTTCCCTGACCGGGAAAGTCCACCCAAATCAGCAGGAAAATAGACAGAATATATGTGTGTATAGATATAGATATATATATATATATATACACTGTATAAGACTTCTAGGTCAGCAGGAAATGGCTTGAATGCATAAAGAAGAATCAGGCATAACAAACTTCTAGGTCGAACAATAATATTGTACAATGGAGAAAGACTGTTGGTATGCATGCAGAAAAATAAGAATTAATAATCAAGAAAACACCTTCTATGAAAAAAAAAAGAAGCTGAAAATCTGGAATAATTGGCAAATGTATGTGACAAAGTTAATCAGACCAGGAAATGGCAGAATTAGAAAGTAAATCTGATAACCCTCATCAGCATATTCAAAAGATACATCCGATAGACGATGTTGCACTATGGGTTGGAAACAGATTTCTGAGAATATACCATTTTCCCCTCAAATTTCAAAAAGAATAAGAGGAGGATAAATTAGACCTGAAGCTGTGAACAATCAAAATTTGGAGTTTCATCCATGTGCTGAAGAAGCCGGCCAGGAGTGCAAACCAGTATGTTCAGCTCATTTACGCGCTCCTTCTCTGCTTCAACATCTCTGCGACCACCAATTAGGAGGCCAGCACTAAAATTATGGTGCTTCCCAACCGCTTTTAACACATCAAAAGTTTGACTAGCTATTTCCCTTGTTGGAGACAGTATGATGCTGCCTACCCCATCCTGAGGACACCATCTCTCTCTATACAATTTTTCCACAAGCTGAAAGAGAACAAAATTAAAATATAATAGGGCATCAATAGAGGGTTCTTTTATAACCATTGAAAAATGCCTATAGACTGACAGAGAAAGAATGGAAAATTCGAACACATCCCAACTTACCGGTATAACAAAAGCCAGAGTCTTTCCCGAGCCAGTCTTGGCGGCACCAAGAATATCTCTGCCACATAGAGCGTGGGGCAAAGACGCCTTCTGAATATCGGTCATTTCGATGTACTTGGATTGGCGTAAGGCGTCCTTGGTCTTCTTAGAGATGGGCAACTGGTCGAACCTGGTGGCGCCGGCGTAGCACGAGAAGATTGTGGGGCCGACGCGGCCGACGGGGGCGTCGGAGGGCAAAGGAGGAAGAGACATGGGGTTGGAGCCACATTCGGGTTGCTGGGATTCAATCCATGATTTCAGAAGCTCGATTTCTTGGAGCTCCGAAAGTTCCTTTTGCTTGCGGGAGGTCTTTGATATAGGTTTTCTCATTGTGGCCGGCTGTGTTTCAACTTCCGACTGGAGGAGAGACAGATGCTAGGTATTTGGGTTTTAGAAAGAAAGCGGCGAGAGCGCTTTGGTAGTGACAACTTACAAGGGTTTAAGCTTTTCAGTTATGTTGACCAAAAAAAACTTTTCCTTTCTAAATTCTAACGACGAAAAGAAAGCTGTAGTTTTTCCTTTTGGTGTTTACTCAATAAGTATTTTACGTTAATGATTTGTCACATACTTCTAATTTTAATTGTTGGATTACATTTATTAATTGTGTTGATAATCTCTTAGATGCAATTCACGTCCGAGATTAGAAGTATATAACCAATTCTTAACATAAATACTTATTGGTGAATCTCCCTTTGCGTTTATATACCAATAGTACTTACTACATATATATATATATATATATTTTAGAGAGAATTATTATTACTTTAAATCAATTCTAATTAATTAGGTAGTTCTAAACTTATCAAACCAAAAAGGGAAGAAAAGGAATTGTGGCTTAGGCCCCTGACAAACCTAGTATGCTCTTGTTTATTTGCATTCGCGTTTTGATTTTCCTCATTATACATTGTTCAATTAATAAAATTATAACATTACCTTTGATTAATTTTGGCGCTGCACATTAGTTTTTTCATAACTAAAATTAAGAACCAAACTGACTATTAGTTTTTCATAACTAAAATTAAGAACCAAACTGACTAAAGAAGAAACCCTTTCCTTGCACGAAAAACATAGGGAAGAAGAAGAAGCCCTTTCATCTCCACAAAATCTGATAAATTAGTGACATGTTTATTAGTCAATCTTTCCACAAAGAATTGGACGTCACGTGGCCTTCGTTTTGACCGATATTTTTATGTCCTTGAATTTTCCGAGTTTCGACCAATAAATAAATAAATAATTTCCGAGTGTCACATTACTAGTGGCTCGTAAGATTTACACGCATGGCAAAATCCAGTCGGGGATAAGGTATATATGTAGGAGAAGAAAGCCACATAGTCTCAGTCCCACTCATTTCATTGAAGCCTTATCCGCAATGGCCATCTCCAGTTCTGCTGCAAGTTCGGCAGACTGGTCTTTGGCTTGCGTGATATCATGCAGAGAAACCCACAAATTCAACTTCTTCACATCCTGCAAAACCAGTTCCTCGTTTTCCATCCCCTGCTATAATCTCCGAGTTTTCAATGTAAATTCTTCAGGTTGTCACTCTCCGATCTTAGAAGACGAAGCATCCACCACTTTGCCAGTCATTGAATTGGACCTGAAGTTTCCAAATTCCCCAGAAGAATTTTCAACCCCGGATGCTGATAACTTGAACGATTTTCTATGTGGGTTGTTTCAAGATCGTCAGACTGAAGAATTTGCGTATGAACAGTATGAGAAAGCGAAAAAGAAGAGGCCAGAATTCATACCAAACAAATCAACATTTGAGCATCTAATAAGGTATTTGATACGTTCCAAGAAATGGGGTTCAATGCTTTCAGTTTGTGATGATTTTAAGAATTACCATGTACTGCCTGATAGTTATACTTGCTCTAGGCTGATCGCTAGCTGCATTAGAGCTAGAAAATTCAAAATGGTTAGGACTTTGCTTGAAGTATTTAAGGCTGATGATGATGTCGCTGTCCCGGCCTTTGATTCGGCAATGAGAGGCTATAATGAGCTTCATATGTTCAAAAGTACAATTTTTTTGTTTGAGCGAATGAAATATAATGGAATTGTTCCAAATTCTGGATGTTATTGCCGGATCATGGAAGCTTATTTCAAGAAAGGCGACAGTAGAAAAGTTGTTGAATTGTTTCATGAACTAGGAAGTAGGCAATTGGATTTTACCCCATTTTCAACTCAAATATACGGAATTCTATGTGAGTCACTGACCAAATTGGGACAGCCTTTTGAAGCTCTGGAAGTTTTTCGAAGTAGGACAAAGGAAGGAATTTCTTTAGACTCTTCAAAGATCTACTCTGTGTTGATTAGCTCATTCGCGAGCATCCGAGAAGTGGAGGTGGCTGAAGAGCTTTTTGAGGAAGCGGAGACCAAGAAAATGTTGAGGGATCCGTCTGTATTTTTAAGACTTATATCAATGTATGTGGAAACAGGGTTGACACAGAAGACTCTTGGAGTAGTCAAGGCGATGAAGGGTGCAAATATCAGAGTTTCGGACAATATATGCTGCGCAGTTGTTAGTGGCTTCTCCAGGAAAAACAGGTTGCTGACTGCGGTAAAAGTTTTCAAAGATTTGGTGCTAATGGGATGTGAGCCAGGACAAGTGACATACGCGTCGATTATCAATGTATATTGTCGCCTGGGGCTTCACTCCAAGGCTGAAATGATTTTTAGAGAGATGGAGGAAAAGGGGTTTGATAAATGTGTAGTGGCTTATTCTAGCATGGTTGTAATGTATGGGAAAACAGGAAGGCCAAGAGATGCAATGAGACTTGTGGCGAAGATGAAAGAAAGAGGGTGCAAGCCAAATGTATGGATTTACAATTCTTTGATGGATATGCATGGAAGGGATAATAATTTGAGGCAAGTTTCAAAGCTATGGACAGAAATGAAGCGAAGGAAGGTTGCACCAGATAAAGTAAGCTACACAACTGTTATAGGTGCTTACAACAAGGCAGGGGATTTTGAAATGTGCATGAGATATTACCATGAGTTTAGGATCCATGGGGGTGTTTTAGACAAGGCCATGGCTGGAATGATGGTTGGGGTTTTCTCGAAAACGGGTCGGGTTGATGAGTTGGTGAAGCTTCTGCGAGATATGAAATCAGAAGGAACAGGGTTAGATGGGAGGCTTTATCGGTCAGCCTTGAATGCCTTGACAGATTCTGGGCTGCAAACGCAGGTCAAATGGTTGCAAGGTAGCTTTAAGGTGACCTAGTCTTGATAAGGGTTTGTATAACTGTACAGATCGAATTCCAGTTTTGGGCGCAAATGCTCTGTTTCAAGTACTCTGTTATGCTACAACTTCATTAGGATTTCTTTATTTTTCTTTCAACTGAAACCTGAAAATTAATTTGCATATATATACTGAAATTTGTTACACTAGGAACCATCATTTTATGTACTTAATATTTAAATGTGGAATTTACACAGTAAATAAATATAAATCATGAATTTTTAATTTATTTTTTGAATCATGAGTTATATTTACACATTAAAGTTAGACATCTTTCATTATTTTTTTAGTATTTAGAGTTGTTTTGTTTTGTTCCAATATTATTTCCATTATCCTGCTTTTGATTTTTTACTTTTCCTAAGTTAGGGAATGCTAGCAAAATTATTTTGTAATTGCTTAATGTCTGACAAACGATGGCCGCCATGGTTATCCTAAGATGACTTATCCTCGCAAAATATACAAAACAAACCAAAATGAAGTAAAACTTGAATATGAAGCACTTGACTAGAACACAAAAACAAAAACAACAAAAAGATTAGAGAGAATGTTGCTAGCATTCCCTAAAGAAGTTACACTTTTGAATTTTAAATAATATAATCGCACGTTAAAAATTATAGCTGCGCTATTATATGCTTTAAATATATACGAATATTTAAAAATTATATTCGCTTTAAATATATTTGAATATTTAAAGAATATAGCCGTGCGGCTATACTAATTTAATTTTCGAATATATTTAAATTGGTGTCCTCGACTATACTCTTTAAATATATTTGAATATTTAAATCGGTGTCAATCTTTCTCTCTATGTCATTGTCACTCTCATCTTCCAATCGGCTATACTCTTTAAATATATTCGAATATTTAAATCGGCGTCAGTCGGCTATACTCTTTAACTATATTTGAATATTTAAATCGATGTCAGTTTTCTCTCTGTGTCACTGTCACTCTCATCTTCCAATTGGGAGAAAAAGATAAATCCATGAAGCCTCTCTCCAACTCTGCATTAGTAAACCCACACATCTCTCTCTCGATTTACAACTATGATTCATTCATTCATAGAAAAGTCAAGCGGCTTTACTAGGGTTGTTTTTGTTTTAATTGCCTTTAATAAATAGTATAGCCGTGCAGCTATAATCTCTCTCTCTATCTCTCTCTCTCTCTCTCTATTAAAAAATTGCCTTTAATAATTGCCTTTAGCACATTCACTTTTAATACTATATTATACACATATGTATGTATTTTTCAAAAATACATCCGTGTTTTGTACATGTCTTAAAGACTCGGTAAAATTCATGTTTTCAAACAAGCAAACATACAATACTCGTATTGTATATGTACGTAAGTATTTCTCATGTTTAATACACTTATTTTTTACAAAATTTTCAATAAGACACAAAAAATTCATGTATTATACAAAAAATTCTCACATATTATTGAATAAAAATAATATATGTTAAAAAAAATTATTAAAAAAATTATATAATGGCCGATTAATATCTGCTTTGGATATGTTAAAACTAACAAATTAATATCTCTAAACTAATGCAACAAGGAGGGTGCTTTTTTCTTAAATTTTTTTTTATTAACTAGTTTAGCAGGGCGGCTATACTACGAGTTTTTTATAAATTGTATAGCCGACCGGCTATACTTATTTTGACACGTGGCGCCTAAGGGGCTGTGCGACTACTCCCTTTTTTTAAATGAGGCTAGACTAGGTTTTTATTTATTATAAAAACAGTATGGCCGCGCGGTTTTACTGGGTTTTATATTTTAATTGCCTTTAATAAATAGTATAGTCGTGCGGCTATTCTCTCTATCTCTCTCTCTATATATATGTGTGTGTGTGTGCTAGGATCCTGTTTTTCTTTTAAATTTTTTCCCCATTTTTCATTTATCGATAAGAATAGTTTATAGCATTATCTATTACTATTAAACTATTACCCGAGTCTTTATTGTACTCGTTTAATTTTTTTATTTTTCCAGAGTTATTACCATTATAATGAATTTAGCATTTTCACGTTTAATACTGTATTATACACGTACATACATATTTTTCAAAAATACATTGTGTTTTGTACACGTCTTAAAGACTTGGTAAAATTCAAGTTTTTGAAAAAGCAAATGTACAATACTCGTATTGTACATGTACATACATATTTATCATGTTAATACACATATTTTTTACAAAATTTTCAATAAGACACACAAAATTCAGGTATTATACAAATAATTCCCACATATTATTGAATAAAAATAACATATACATAAAAAAATTATATTAAAAAATTATGTAATTGTTGATTAATATCTGTTTTGGATATGTTGAAACTAACAAATTAATATCTCTAAAGTACAAACTAATGCAACAAGGAGGGTGCTTTTTTCTTAATTTTTTAATTTAGTAAATAGTATGGCTGCGCGGCTATACCACTTCAATATAATGTATTTAAATAGTATAGCTGGGCGGCTATACTACAATAGGCGCTGGGGGTCCCCTCTTTTTAATAAAAATAGTACAGCCATCGGCTATACGCAATGTTTTATTTTATTTTTTTAAAACTTAGTTTAGCCGCTCAGCTCAACGTATTTTGACACGTGGCTCCTAGGCGCTGTTTAAATAGTATAGCCGCGCGGCTATACCGCTTAAATATAATATATTTAAATAGTAGAGCCGATCTGCTATACTATAGTAGAGCCGAAAATTTTTTTATGACTAAAACTTAAATTTACTTTTTGTTTAGGCTATAAGTAGACACGTAGGCGATATTCTATTTTTGAAATAAAGAGTATAGCCGGGCAGCAATACTAGATTTTTTTTATCATAGTATAGCCGCGCGGCGAGACCTCTGCGCACATCGGCTTGCTCGGTGTTGATACGCGTTGGCCTATTGGGGCTTGCACTGATTGCTGATTTCCTCTGGGCTTCCTCGCCTCGTTTTGCTAATTCCTGTATCTCCATTGCCTCCAAGTGGCTCCTCCCCTTGATATTTTAAAACCAGTCTGATCCTCACACGCAAGAAGACTGACGACGAACCCGTAAAAGGTTTGTTTCGCTCTTTGTTATCATCTTGTTGAAGTCTTGCGTTTTTATGTGAATTCTCATCTGGGTATTGGTTGGCTTGTGTCAAAACGGGGAAAAAAATTATACTTTTTATTGTTTGGTTGTTTTGTTGAAGCTCATTCGTGCTGGTTCAGGATTTTCATGTGAATTTGATCTCAGTATTGTCTGATTTGTGAGGAAATGTACCTTTTTAGTTTGTTTGGTTGCTATATTGAAGCTGGTTTTTGCTGCTGAGTTTGTATGAATATTTTAGTCGCGGTCTTGTTTAGTGTGTTAAAGTGTTTCGCAAAGGATTTGGTGCTTTTATTTCTTGATGTGAGAGTTGGTTGATCATTGAAGCTCATTGTTGTTAGTTGTACATTGTGATTAGTGTTTCTGTGGATTTCAACGAGCTACTTCACCCCCATTGTTGTGGGTTTTTTCTTCTTCATGTGAATTCTTACCGGCGGTTTGTGAAACATTGTAAAATGAAAGAAAAAAAAAAAAAAAAAAAAAAAAAAAAAAAAAAAAAAAAAGGTTTGCTGGTTGTTTGTAGTTCATTGTTGCTTATTTTGATTAGTTTTTACAGATTTCAAATTTGATTTTGTTGTGGGTGCCGAGAAGATGCAATAGAAGAGAACGGATATAAGATTTTGGATATTAGTATATTCGGCATATTGAAAATTATGAAATTGCATGAACTCCTATTCTTTATTTTGAGCTTTTAGGATGATTTTCTGGTTCCACTTGAAAAGCAAAGTGAAGATTTCATGAATTTGGGTTTCTGTTATTGGGCATTTGAGTAAATTCTGTACCTATTAGAAAAACAATGGTCCTGTTATTGGAGCTTAATTCCATCCATCAATGGGTTAAGCAGAAGTGAATTTCTACTTTTATGAAACCAATGCATTGTCCTTTTACTTATCTTCTAGAACTTTTTCCTGTTATGTTAAATTAATGGCAAATAAAGTTCTAACTGATCCTTGTTTCAGCTCTGAATTTGACAACTATTCTGTTACCGTTAGGTAAATCATAAAAATGATACGGCTCCTGGTTGAGTTTTATTAGCAATTTTGGCTGATTTGCCTGGACCAGAATTAAAATGGGAAAAGATGGCTGCTGCACCTGTAGCTCGCTTGGATGGGGCGGCTATACATATAAAGAATCTTCTATTCGTGTTTTCTGGATACAGTACCATTGATTATGTGAGAACCTTGTATTGCTCCTTAACTAAATTGTTTTTTATATTGTTCATGCTAGCTGTCTCTACTGAATTTTTCAGGCTATGTCCTTTTTTATTTATTAAAATGGTCTGTTGCTTATTTTTTAACATCCCAATTTTCATGATTTAGCACATTACTTTTAACTTAACCCCTTTGAAATGACAACTGTATAGATTAGTCTTACATTTTCTTGAGATCTTGTTTTAGCTGATGCTATGGGAATTCTATCTTTTGTACTTGGGAAATGAACTGATTTAATGTAGTCCCTTAACGAAATAAATTGTTGATGCTTCTGTGCAAATAACTTTTAAGATAAATAAAGAATAGCCATGCGCATTATTTTGTGGGTTATGGAACTTTTGGAAGTGAAGATTGACTAGTATGACACACACATGTACTCAATATGAATACTCACACTGTATTATGTTATTAGCTACATTTGCTGAAGAAATTATAAAATAAAATAAAAACAAACAATGAAATCATGTAGAAACTAGAAATGGTTCTAGATTTGTTTAGCACTATTGTTGGGGGAAGAATTTGTTGAGGAGGTGGTTGTATTACAAACTGCTACATGAGAGAGAAGGATTTCTATTATATGGAGCATGCAGAGAATTGGATAAGAATATCAAGATTTAAAAGAAGATGTTTGTGTTGCAAGTGGATTAGGAATTGCTAGGAGTAGCTACCAAGGCAAATCGAAGATTTTAGTACAAACTGCTCAGGGTAATCCTTGTTCTTTAAATTTTTGGAATCCGGTAGTTAAAAAGTGAGATTAGATGGGTTGAAAAGGGTGTGTTTTTATGGGTTCTTACTTTGGCTTAATTGTATCGAGTAGAACTGTGGTGTCCTTTTGGGAATCTATGTCAAAGAGTTTTAGGATGTTGCCTTTAGTTTAATTTATCTTGATTTTGTGGGTATTATGAAATAGTTGTAAATTTATTCTGTAATTTTCTGCATCGTCTTTTTTTAATATAGAGAGACACGTTATCGCATATTTTTTACTCTATTTTTTCGAATTAGATTATAATGTTTACTACCAAAAAAAGAAGAAAAGGAAAATCACAAACTGCTTCATGACTGGTGACATCAATGAATTGGGCCTCAACTCAACTGCTGGGGATAGATCAGATCCTACGCTTATGCGGAACTATGATAAACATGTTTTATTATATTCACTCGTTCACCAAAACTGAAAAGATTCACCCTCCCTTCTTATGTTAGTGGGCTGTCCTTTCTGTTTATTGTTTACTTTAGGTACATTCACATGTTGATATCTATAATTTCAGTGATAATACATAGGGAGGAAGATTTGATATGCCAAAAGAAATGGCACATTTGCATCTAGGAATGGTAAGTGACGGAAGGTACATATACATTGTCACAGGACAGTATGGGCCACAGTGCAGAGGGCCCACTGCCCATACATTCGTGCTTGATACTGAGACAAAGTAGTGGCGGGACATGCCCCCTTGACCAGTTCCTAGGTTTGTTTTTGCCTTAATAAGATTGCATAGAATGAAGTGTATGTTTCTGTTGTTAAATGCTGTGTGATACTGAAATCGATCACTGTGTATTCCTGTATTGTGCTGCGTGCATACACATGTTTGTGAATGAGAATGTCATTTATACCATGTCTTTCTGTCATTTTGCTCGTATTTAATACCACTTGATTTCATTGTAGGATATCTGTTTATATATGTATATATCATAAATGTATTTGTGTATTTTTGTGTGCTCATGTATAAATAGACTTCATGTAATGGAGAGGTAGATCATTGGAGTCTTGCTGTTAAAGATGGAAAAGCATTAGAAAAGGAATGGAGGACTGAAATTCCTATTCCCAGGGGTGGATCTCATAGGTCTGTCCACTGTCTTATTCTTGCAGCATTTATGTAACTAAGCATTTCATCATGGGAGATCTTGGTGGAATTCCCGCATATGAAATTGAGCACAATTTTGCATTCATTGGCCTTGAAAGTGATCACGTAAAATTAAATCATAAATTTTGAAGTTTTTTTTTACCAATAACCATTGTCGAAAGTTGTAGGCAATCCGTTGGTATGAGTGGTCTCTTCTTGATTATTTTCTAGGTCCATCTTTCCGTTTGTGATCTATCAATTCCAGATTCTTTCTTATATGTAGCAATGAGAATAATCCTCTTTGGTGTCTTAGGGCAATAACATAAAGACAATGATATACACTCCCTGCTTAGAATGTTTATGGAGCTAAACTTGGGGTTCTGGTGTAAGCTTCTTGATGTTCAAATTTTGCTGATAGAATTACTTGATCTCCCTCACACCTGAAGGGAATAAATGGAGTAACTTCCCTAGAATTTTGTTATCAAAGTCAGGACCACATCAGGTCCTGTATCATCTGGAGGCATGCCTGGTCCAGCTTCCTTAAAGAAGTCAAATTCTGGACCACTAAATAAGCATGGGGAACCTCTTAAGAAGTCGTCTGGTCCTCAATCTGGTGTGGTAACACCAACTGGCCGCCAAAACTCTGGACCTCTTCCTCCTGTTCTCCCTGCAACAGGTCTCATTACATCTGGACCCATTTCTTCTGGCCCACTAAATGCTTCTAGGGCCCCTCTTAAGGTATCTGGTCCTTTGGAGTCAATGGGATCAATGAAAGTACAAGGTTCCTCCATTGTTCACAATCAGGCCATTACTACTCTTAGCCAAGATGACAAGTTTTCGTTTATGAAGAGCTTCCCAAAGCTAATATTATGGTCTTTCTAATTTTTGTGATGGGGTTCACAGCTGGTGGTTTTATTCTAGGTGCAGTCCACAATGCATATCTCCTCATTGTGGTTGTGATCCTTTTTGGTGCAGTTGCTACACTATTCACATGGAATACTTATTGGGGAAGACGAGCTATTATAGGTTATATTGCTAGTTATTCAGATTCTGAGCTGAGGACTGCAAAGAATGGGCAATTTGTGAAGGTCTCAGGGGTAAGTTAATCTGTTGCTGGTATGGCTTATAATTGTTATTGAGATATATGAAGGAGGGTGGGATGAAGATACGTGGAGGAATTTAATTGCTGGAAGTACTATATCTCTATAACATTTATTTTCTAGGTTCTAATACAAACGGGTTAAAGGACTTAGTGTTTTTCCTTTTTGTTGAGCTTAGCTATTCTTCTGTAAATGTTAATCAATAGTTTTCACAAGTTATTTCTGGTTCTGTTTTTGAAGGTGGCTCAGGTCCATAGAAGTGAGTAACTGAGTCAGCTTAATGTTTGATGGATAACATATAGTATTTCTCTTTCTATTTTCTTTCCCTTTTTCATTGGGGCGGGGGTTGAGGTTTTCATAATTAACGAACTGAATTTTTTTTCTCATTAACTTTCAAAATATTTAGATTTTGCCATTGGCTAATTTTAATTCTAGTGCCTGGACAGTTTTAAATGTGTTTGTAGAGCTGATGTACAGTGCAATTGCCAATACACTAAGTGTTGCTATTTGAATTTTGTTAATATATTTGTTTCTGGTTTATTTGCCTTCCTGCTTTGAATGTTCTGTTGCTGCAAGCAGCCATTGCATGGTGATGCCAAGGGACGACTTTTATGGCTACCAGGCTTGAAAATTCTTGGGCTTTAGATTTCACACTTTTGACCATAATTTTCTATTTATGTCATTTGACAGAGGTGTGTGGTAGATTTCTACATCTCTGATTTCCAATCTGGGTTAAGAGCATTGGTTAAGACTGGCTCTGGAGCAAGGGTGACTCCTTATGTTGATGATTCGATTGTCATTGATGTGAACCCTGAAAATGAAGAACTGTCTCCAGAGTTTATTGGGAGAGAGGAACCTTTCAAGTGATGATCGCATGATGCGGTTGAAAGAAAGGTAATAGCTCTTTCTTACAATTAATTTACGTTGATGCTTTTTTCTTATAATTATAAATGATAATTGCTTCTGAGTTTTTCCCTCATAATCTATCGTTTGTATAGTTGTGTTAAACATAAATGCCCCTTATAAGGAGTTTAGTGTGCTTTCAAATATCTAGTCTTCATGTTTTTAGCAAGTGTATATCGGGTAGTAGCAGTTCGTACTTTTTACTGATTTTAGCTTTTTCTCTGTGCAGGCATTAACACGGAGTTGGGTGGTTTGTTTGGGTTGAAAAGTGCTCCAGCTCTCTAGCTACTCTTTCCCATGCAACCTAAAATTTTACCCATAAGATAGTTGAGTCATCCAATGAATCCAGTACTAAACTAGCAATGGTGGCAGCGCGATGCTACAGGTTTTAAAACCGTGTGAAATGTGTGCAAAGTCATGAAAATATGTTGGGAAGATGGTACTATTTATATAGACATGGAGATCTAAATAGTGGCATCATGCTTTGTTTAGCAAGTTTAAGTTACAAAAAATAGACTAATAACATGTTTTATATGTTGCTTGTCATGTTAAAATATTGACCATATATATTTTTTTTTTTGGACCAAAAATATTGACCATATATTAATAAACCAAGCAGCAATCAAAACATCAAAATATTAGCAGTTTTTGCGTTGCTCATTGTTCAAGAGAGTTTGGACAAGTCTTTATATAAATGCTACCGGGTGGTAGAAGGGGATTTTTCTGCCTTGATGTCTGTTGGAAGGGGATATTTCTCTCGCCGGCTCTGTTGCAGAGGTGGCTTTTGTTCTTTGGTGTAGAAGAAGATAGATTTGTAGATGGAAAGAGGCCTTGGAACTACGCCAGGGAAAAGAGAAGCTTCAAGCTCCAAAAGTATATTTAAAATAGTTTCGATTATTTAAAAATGAGTAAAATCCTAGAAAATTATTTTATTTCAATGTGGAATTTACACATTAAATAACTGTAAATCATGAGTTTTATTTACACTTTAAATTTAGACATCATTTCATTATTTTTTAGAGTTTAATTAGCGTTGTTTTGTTTTGTTCCAATATTATTTCAACTATCCTGCTTGTGAATCATTTTGATTATATATGTACAGGAGGACTTGGTCTTCAAACGTAGGAAGCGGTGGTAGGGGGTTCCCAAAAAAGATTTTATTGACAAATATAAAAGGCTAATATCGTTGACAAAATATAACAATTCGAGTAATTTCCATTATCTTCCTCAAAGTATTCATTGAGGTGTAATTTATTCTTACAACAATAACAACACTGTATAATAATTGAGGTTACATATGAACGAATCAAATACAACAAGACATCGGCAAAAAAAATAAAAAAACAAACAAAAAAGGAAGACATTCGCTGTTCAAATTAGGTTGTACATTTCATCTTGATACTTGGGGCTCAAGAAGGTTTTAGTTGACAGCAGTGCAAATCCTTCTGATCTCTCCAGCTGAACCGGTGAGAGGAGAAACGTCTCCCATCTTAATCATGGCGATTCCAAAATCAGACCTAAAAGTTGCGGGTTTCGAACTATACTCAGAGACAATGCTGTCTGTGGATCCTCCACTAAAGAGAACTTGATCTGATTGAAGAAGACCCTTCTTCTGGATTAAATTCTTGAAGTAATTGTAGTCGAATGAATTTGGTGTCACCAAATCAAGTGGTGCCAAATTTGCATTACCGTTGGGTGCAGCAGCTGGACAGCGGCGTCTGCGAGTAGTTGCAAAGTTAGAATCAATGTCACTTCCATTGTTGTAAATCCTGTCACGAAATGTGAAGCACTGAGCCTGCCCTATTGTATGTGCACCTGCATTCATACGTATATAAGTTCATTAATTAGCATAAATTTTTAATTAATTTTCTAAGCAAGGCAAGGCATATATGATTCATTTAAATAGTTACCTGACAATGCAACCAGATCCCTGGGACTGAGGCCTCTGTCACCAAATCTGGAAATAAGGAGGTCAAGGGAGTCTGTGAAAAGTGGAAGGTCACTTTCAGCTTGAGCTTGGCTTGCTCTGGTCGCATCTCTTCTTCCAAGCTTCACAGTCCAAGATGGACCACTCACCTATATCATATGTATATATATTTAGTTAATTGCAATTATTAGTAGTTGTGCAAGATTAAAGCCACGAGGTTGACAGTAACATTATTCCAATTAATAAAAGAATCAAATTGAATTATTTATTTATGTACTCACAGCAACTGATGCATCCCGAGCTGCCACAGCAAGGATATCTGCGCAAGATACAACACCAGGGCAAATCTTCTCCACTTGAGCTTTTGCATCATCTATGACTTCGAAGCCTCTAGCAGAACCCCTGTTTTGAAATGCGTTCTTTTCGCTTACGATAGAAGCAGAATCATTAAGTAAGAGTGAGGCGTCACAACCCTGCAATCGATCATCAAAAACAAAAACCAAGAGTCAATGACTGCTTATGATCAATCAGTGGCTAGCTTAATTAATGAGGGGGTAATTAGTATGTACCTGAACAAAGCAATCGTGGAAATGGAGGCGCACTAGGGAGGCCGCCATCCGGCGTTCACGCGAAACTGCTCTGCTTATGGATGATTTGATAGTAGCAAGAGCGTTTGGGCAGGTTCGGTCATAGAATGTTGAAGATAGTTGCGCTTGGCTTGCTGTGCTCATGATGAAGAAAAGCAACAACATCGCGAATGCAACATTTGCATGGGACGTGAAAGAGAAAGACTTGGTCATGATTAAAAATCAAATCAAAACTCTCTCAACTTCGCAAGGTAATTAAGGGTTTAGGTTGAGTGGAAATGGAAACTGAAGAAAAAATGAGAATGAATATTGAAGATGTTGATGAAGTAAGCTTGTAGCTCTCATCTATATATAGCACAGGGCAGTTTATGAGTAGCCAGCCAAGCTGGTTTGTCCAAGTCGCTGTTCAATTAATGTGCAAGCCCCTCAAGTAATTGCATGACTCATTCTGATTTGGTTGCCGTAAAAAGTCTTCGTTTTAAAACTATAAAATTGTACTTTGAAATTTCTCAATTGGTAAAATGTACGTATACCTGGTCAAGCATGAAAACTAGTCGTTTAAATATATTATTTACAACTGGTTGTCACCTTTTACTTGTTTGTGCGATGCATGCAATTGGGCATTATATATATGTAAAAAGTAGGTGCATTTTGTAGTTTTCGCGATTCGCCCATTCTCTTTCATAGCAGCCCACGTTTCGTTGTTCCAATCCAAAAAAAAATTCAACATGGAAAACTTAATTAAGAAAAGACAAACTTAATTAAGGGCAAGATATATACGAGTAATCTTCTGTTTAAGAGTGGCTAACGCGTCGTCCTACCCTAAACTGTATGTAACTAAGGGAAAAAAATGAGCAAACATTTCTTGCTTAATGTTTGGAAGAGTTGTAATTGAACGTGTCCATAACTTTTGTAATTAATTTATAATCATCACTTTCACTGAACCAACCAAGTCTAGCTAACTGTGAGCCTTCAATTAAAAACTTATCATAATAAGTTCACTTTAATGATAAATTATTAGGAGTTAGTTTATCTGCATGCCCTCCTTCTGAACTGATGGGCTTCTGGATATATTCTTGACCATGACTGGGCGTATGTGAGATGTGACCCACCCACCACAGCCTGCTTGTTATTACCGAAACAATATTATAACAAGGATATGGTCAACGTTAATACGTTATATATATATATATATATATGTATATATGTCGCTTTTCTGACTTTTGATGTATTTCACAACATTCGTCGTGCATGCTTCTTGTTTTTAACGCACCAAAACAAAACAAGAGAACCTAACTGGCTGCATATGCATCAACACTTATCGAGGTGACTAAAATTATATCATTTCTGGATGACCGATTCTGATTTGGCTGTCATCATGAGGCGGTGGTGTGAACTTAATCATGTAGTCAAGGATGAACTTAATTCTCTTTCCTAATGTAAAAACAAAAACTAACAGCTGACATGCGATTTGTAAGTCACACATAAGCACAATGAAGATGATTCAACCTTTTTTTTTTTGGGTTGGTTTGAACCAGAAGAAAGTCAATTTATTAAATAGAAAAGTTCAATCACACGCAACAACGAGAGAAAGCCATGGGAGTGGCGGCTCCTCCTTCTCTTCTAGCTAGCTAACTCACACCATAATTCACGTATTAAAGTGCATTAAGATTAAATGCAAAAGCAATTGAATTTTGGCAAAGCAGAAAAACTTGGAGGAAGAAGTGATCCATTTCATTCTTTCTCAGGTTGCTTCCCCTCCTTGCTCCCGTTTACACCATCCACAGGAGGCAACGTCTGCACAAATTGCATAGGATTTATAAGCGCCTAATATTATTTTGATTCAATAACAAACACAATAATAGAGCAGGTAAGCCAAACATTTTATCGAACACTTCGCGTGCAATACGTCAGGGTCAAATACAGAACCTAAACCGCATATATTCTTTTTTCGTAATTGATCAACAAGAAGGTATTACACTCCGTGAGTGTGTGTGTGTGTGTGCGCGCGCGCGCGCGAGAGAGAAAAAGAGAGAGAGAGAGAAAGCGCGCGTACGAGATCTGGCTTGTAGAGATTGTGGACAACGGAGGCCCCAGCGAGAAGCGAAACGACAACAACGACGGACGACCAAGCCAACGAAGGAGTGCCGGTGGGCAGCCTCCCTCCCCCGAATTTCTGATTCATCCCCAAAAGTAAACAACACCAACGGCGCCGACTGCAGGGGAGAAGAGATTCCGCTTGAATTCCCGCTTGCGGTTTTTGATTTCCCCTTCTGCAGTCTGGCGAGCTGTATTCTTATTGGGCTTCAAGGAAATTTCATTTTCCATGGTGTCACCAGGCCTTGAAAATTTTGCTTTAACACGTTCGTTTTGTTGTTATTGGGCTTAGCCCATGTAACAAAAAAAAAAAAAAAAAAAAAATTTATTTTCATTTTTTTTATCCTTTCTGACTCATAATCCTAAGACATAAATTAGGTTAGTTGGTCAGGTCAATGAGTCTGTCCTTTTGCACCTAAGTTCAAGTTTCTCTTCTCGTAGATTAAATTAATTTAAAATACTTTATGTTGAAGGAAAATGTGATCCTCCCAACATAATTTCATCACCACTAATTAATTAATGGGGTTTTATTATTTTAGATTCGACCCATTCGAGATGTTGTGTCTCTTAATTACAATCTCTTTCTTCAAAAGAACACCATTTGATTCCATCATAAAGAAACAGAACGTGTGTTTGGTTTTGCGACTGCCCCTAAATCGAACCTCAAGGTGCCTACGTATCCCTTGCGGAAATCAAGTCACTTGTAATTCAAAGAATCGCAATAAATAAATGACTCATTGCGAGGGGATTTTGATTTGAATTGTGTTAAGGAGTGTTTGACTGAATTTAGCTGAATAAACCAAGGATTTGATATGGAATTATGTTTGAGATGGTTATATCTATATTGAATCTCTAAATTGCCTACGTATCCTTTCAAAGGGATCAAACCAACATAGTTCAGAATTGATTTGTGTGAAGATAGATATTTGATTTGTGGGAATTTGGTTGATGTAACCAGCGATTCAAATTTGGTTGCGGTTGCGTCTATTAGGATGTTAGACTGCCTACGTATCCTTGATGGGATCGAACCGGCGTAGTTCCAAAATTTGGTAATTAATTGGTAAGTGTGGCCCACTAATTGAGAATTTGTGTCTTTGAGACAATTTGGAGATTTTTATAGGTATATGACACATGGGAAAGATTGGAAATTAATGGGTAAGTGTGGCTTATTAATTGAGAATTTGTGTTTAAGAGATTTGAATTTAATCCCGTTTGAATTTTCATGAGTAGATGACTCAAGAGAAAAATTGGAAATTAATGGGTAAGTATGGCCCATTAATTGAGAATTTGTGTTTGAGAGATTTGAATTTTCATGAGTAGATGACCCATAGAAAAAAAAATTAGAAATTAATGGGTAAGTGTGGCCCAGTAATTGAGAGATTTGAATTTAATCTCATTGAAATTTGCATGGGTAGATGATCCATGGAAAAAGTTGGATAGTTTTGTACCATTTTTTCTATTGCCAATGTTCAAGAAAAATAGTGAGAACTTTCCATTAAGCCACTAATTTTTTAAAATTGACATTTGCACTTGGAAAAGTATTCTGGCGGATTTGGTTAGAATAAACTAAGGATTCAAATTTGGTTGCAGTTGCATCTAGTGGGACGCTAGACTGCCTACGTACTCTTGATGAGATCAAACCGACGTAGTTCCAAAATTTTGAAATTAATGGGTAAATGTGGCCCACTAATTGAGAATTTGTGTATTTGAGACAATTTGGAGGTTTTCATAGGTAGATGACCTATGGAAAAAAATGGAAATTAATGAGTAAGTGTGGCCCACTAATTGAGAATTTGTGTTTGAGATATTTGAATTTAATCTCGTTGGAATTTTCATGGATAGATGACCCATGTGAAAAATTGAAAATTAATGGGTAAGTGTGGCCCACTAATTAAGAATTCGTGTTTGAGAGATTTGAATTTAATTTCATTGGAATTTTCATAGGTAGATGACCCATAGAAAAAAAAATTAGAAATTAATTGATAAGTGTGGCCCAATAATTGAGAATTTGTATTTGAGATATTGAAATTTGTTGTCTTGGGAATTAATGGGTGCTTTGGATTTGGGCCCACTAATCCATGATTTGTGAGTTTAAGAACTCGGACCAATTGTTTGCCGATCGGATTTCTCAATGGACAACTCCGTTGAGATTGAGACTTGTAATGGAATAAGCTCATTGTCTTTCACACAATCATATCTTGAGATGCGGATTGAAGACGTTGGGTCTTGTAATATTTGCTTTCACTGACAGCCCAATATTTTTAACAGGCATAACTTAGACTTTGTGTTTTGGGCTCTTAGACTTGTTGCATAATCTTCGTGACTCTGTACAACAAACCCATGAAGCCCACCTCAATTGATTTGGCAGTCCCTGATTGACTGAGCTATGAATTTGAGCGGAACTACCCTATCGCAAACGGACTTAAGATGGAGATCCTTGCAGGAGTGAAGCCTTGGTGTTTTGCTTTCCCGAACCTGCCTTGAGTACGTGGGCCTGTCAAATTTTGAGGCCTGCAAGTGGGAGAGAACTTGAATTGAAGGGCAACCATATACGTGGTTGGCCTTTTTTCTTTGACTTCCTTTCTTTTGGTTTTTCATGTGGCTCACTCTCTGTGCATGGAACGAGCAGCTTTCTAAAGAGATTATTTTTTGTTTCCCTCGTCGTGGGAGCCGAAGAAAAGGCTTGTAACCACTAGTTGGGGTAATTACATGAAGCCTTCTTTTATTCTCATTCCAGCTACCATCTTCTTTGTAACAGAACTCAAATTTTCGATATGAGAGAAATAAGCTTTTGCCCATATTTTCTCTATACATCCAATCCAAACCAAAAGGAACACGCCAAATTTCTGAGATTTGTTCTTTGTAGTCTCTGTTAATGGCAGTGCATTCCTTTTTTGTGTTTTGACTGGAGCTTTTGCCATGTGAAATGCTGGCTCTTCTCTGAAACAAAGATGGGTTGAGATCACTCTCTTTTTGCCTTCTTCCTTTTTTATTGGACGCCACTTTCTCTTCTTTTCTTTTTTTGTCTTCTTTGTTGATTTTTCTGAAGGAAGGCTTATAAGGAGTTGGGCTATTCCTCCTATTGCCAATTGGTTTTGGGGTAGAACCTCAACTTCCTTCATTTTCTTCTTCGTTTTTTTCTCTGTTTTTGGTTTGCTGCCCAACAAGAAATTGCTAACAGAAACGTGGCTATCCTTTTTCCTTTTTTTAAAGACCTCCATCCTTTGTTTTGATTGTTTGCAAACAATCCCCAGATGAGGAATTCAAGGAATGGGCTGCACTACGCGGTCTCCCTTTTCGAGCTTTGTTTCTTCTTCCTTTTTTGTGCACACAGCTGATTTTTATTTGCTGTGAGATTAAACCCCTTCATACTGCCTGTTTCATTGATTTGGCTGTAGGAAGATAAGCCCAGAAAATTCTGGGAGTTTCTCCACATCTGTTAATGGCACCACAAACCAACTCTGGTTTTGTGATCGTTAGCCCATCATGATAAGCAATCCTTACAGAGTGCTTGTGAATTGGATGTTGAGCACATCCTGAAAGCGTCTGAGAGGAGCTGCACCTCGGAGCCGATCAGGACTTGATCTCATGATGATTACAATCATCTTGGCTGTCAATCCATAGCTGGATGTCCTGGAGGTATTTGAGAAGAGGTACGCCTTAGAGTAGTTTCTTGACTTAATATATGATAATTTCAATCATCATAGCCAAGAATTCCCATGGGTTGATTGTACTGGATGTTGAGTGCTTCCTTGGAAGTCTTTGAGCATAGCCTTGCCATAGAGAGATTCCTAACCCTTTTTTTTTTATGATGATAGAAGTCACCATAGCCAGGAATCCTCTTATGTGCTTGTTATTCCTCTTTGTTCCTGCGGCACCCTCTGTTTCCTGCCTCCTTCCCTTTTTGCTCCTAGGCGTCATGCCTCTTATAGAGGCTATATTATGAAGAGTTTGAATTCAAGCTGATGACCACTTCTCAACTGAGATCTTATCTCTTGGTGTTTCATATCTAACAAAATACATCTCTTTTATTTTTTTATTTTTTCTTGATAAGACTGCAGGGACAAAATTTTCAATTATATCCCTAGTCAAATTCCTGGCTGATTGCTTTTGTGAAAATTTCCCGTTCAACACTTTACATTATCGTTTATGTTTTTTTAAAAATTTTAAGTGAGGTGAACACGCAACACAAGGAACAAAAACAAGAAATGACCCATGCAGGGTCATTTATTAGCAAAAAAAATTAACCCAGCATGCACAGCTGGGTCAATCAATCGATCTCATTGCACAAGCACGCTCACAGCTCTCTCCCACACAGATGGATCCATTATAATCAATTAACATGCTTTGGAGCAGAAGCATCTACGGCGGAAGCCACGGCATTGGCCTCCATTGAAGCCCTCTGTTTTGCAACTCGTGGCACAGTTGCTCGTCAAGAAGCAAATTCCCTTGAATTTTTGGCTCTGACTCTCGCAGGTCCTCTTCTTTGGCCCAACCTTCTTAGCGCTTCTTCCCTCGACAGCCATTGGTCCCATCTCTGTCAAAGTAACACCCATGCATGCATCCGTAAGTTAATTATATTCATCTATATAATTAATTAATGTGCTCATCAAACTAAGTAAAGAAGAGAGAACTAAAGATATACCGGTAGCCACCAAAAGCAGGGCAAGAACCAAGGCAGCGGAAACAAGACGCATTGAACGTTCCATTTTGATCTGTGTGTATTTGTGCGTGTGTGTGCTTGTGTATGAAGCAGAGATCTCAGATGCTAATGTGAAGAACAATAAGCATGCACGGGTGTTTATATAGGGTCGAAGAGCAGATTCAAGAGGATCCATCTCCGTAAAGGTATGTTATCTCCATAGCCAAAAAAAGGAGTTGAAAAATTCCAGCTTCAAGAGGCACCATAGACAACTTGCTATTTTCACTGACAAACTTTTGGCCCTTGTAATAATAACTCAACATATATAAAAAATAAAATATAAAATATACATCACTTGGAAATGTGAAAAGCAGCATTAAAAATGAGAAGAGGAAAAATAATTGTGGGAGATGCTGATTCTTTGGAATAGGTTATATTAGCTAGCTTTATCTCATTCCCATGTTTGATTTACAAGTATGTCTTCTGAAGATATAGGAAAAAGACTTTGTGTTGCCTTAATTTTGATCTAGTTTAAGACGTTGATGAGTTCCAATAATCACAAAGATCAGACAAAAATAATGGAGCAACACAATACAGGCCTTGCTTGATTGGAGCACATAACATTTGCTAGATTGATCAAGAAAACTATGTGTATTATTGAAATATTTTGTTATTTATTTCTTAAAGAAAGTTTTTGTTAGATGTCGCCATCTTCAGATTTTTATGATTTGTGCGACACCAGGGGTAAAGTTGAATTTCAAGGTTTGTTTTGCGCTATATTAGTGAGCACTTTTGGGCCATATTTATAGGGGTTGCATGTTCGGTTTAACACAAGAGAAATAGGTCAATTTAATTAATTTTCAAATGATCTTTGTGATGCATGTATGGTTTGATTTGGTTTGATTTATTTCGTAAATTTGTCAAATGAATAAATGTGATTCTTTATTTGGTATAATTAACGAATAAATTATTTGGTCAGATTAATAAATGAGATTTCTTATTTGGTATATTCAAAAAGAAAATATTTAAATATAGAATGGAAAAAATATGAAATTCAATGTAACATATTTTGAATTTTAATTAGAGAAAAAGCCGTTATCAAACGTGATGCTTCTGGACTCCGAGCTAAACGGGGCTGGATGTGTTCTTAATGGGCTTCCAAACAATTTCATTTTCCTAGGCATATCACTAGGCCTTCAAAATTTTGTTTTTTACACTCATTTTGTTGTGCTTTGGGCTTAGCCCATGTTACCAAAAAAATAAAATAAATTGTGTTAACTGATTGCGAGATTTTTCTTTTTCATTTTTTGTTGTGCACATATCCTAATCGAGATTTTGAGCCTCTGCATTTAGTTCTCATGCATTTAGCTGCATTTCGTTAAATTTAAGCCACTCAAACAATCTAACCATCCAACAAACGCCACATTGTCAAATTGTTAGTCATTTTTTCAATTAACCAAAATTAATGTTAACCTTAAAGTTATAACGCGTTTGAGTTGTTTCTTTTATTTTTAGCCCAAAATTCAGAGGTTCGGGATCCTCTAATCGACTCATAATCTTCAAGAGGAGGGAGGAGATTAAGATTATTTTTAAATAAATAAAAAACTACAGGAGATTAAAAAAAGGAGGACAACACAAGAAACAATAAAAGAAATTATCCATGCAGTCATTTAGTTTATTAGGTGGCAAAAGCAATTAACCCAGCACAGCTGAGTCAATCAATAGATCTCATTACACAAGCACGCTCCGGTTCCACAGATTGTTTTTCTCCCACACATATACACTTTTATGATAAAGTGATTCATCAACAATTTTTGGAGCAGAAGCATCTGCGGCGGAAACCGCGGCATTGGCCTCCGTTGAAGCCCTCTGATTTGCACGATTGCACACAGCTACTCGTCAAAAAGCACATCCCCTTGAATTTTTGGCTCTGAGAATCACATGTCCTCTTATTTGGCTCAGCCTTCTTAGCGCCCCTTCCCTCCACAGCCATTGGTCCCATCTCTGTCAAATCAACATCCATGCATGCATCCGTAATTTGATTAATTAATCTACATACATAATTAATGTACTGATCAAATTAATTAAGAAGGGAATTAAAAGATATACCGGTAGCCACCAAAAGCAGGACAAGAACGAAGGCAGCTGAAACAAGGCGGATGGAGCGATCCATCTTGATCTCTGTGTGTGTGTGTGCGTGCGCGAGCTTGATCTGTGTGTATGTGTGTGCTTGTGTATGCAGTAGAGATCAAATATTATTGCAAAGAACTACAGCCATGGAAGGGCTTTTTATACAGGGTCGTAGAGAAGATCCATGTCCGCAAAGGAAGCTAGCTCCTTTACCAATTTAAGGAGTTGAAAAATTCCAGCTCCTATTTTGGCCAGCAAACTTTTGATTTCTTATATTTGTGGTGAGGTTGGCTCTCCATATATTTATGGCCACCTTAAATTTGAAATATTGGAATTTAAATTGCTCCCCCGCCGCATGTTTGATCAATTAGAAAAGATGATAACCCTTGCAAAATGACTACATATATGTATGGTTGAGGCAATCAATAATATTGCATTATTACAAACGTAGGGGTATTACAAAGACATCGTTGACAAAACAAGGCAAGGCAACTCACGAGGGTGGTACTGAACTAACAAACAAGAACAAGAACAATAACAAGGATATAATATAATAACCCAACTGGTAATTGGGTCATTATATAATTATTTATTTTAGTTGCACGTACGGCCACTGATATAAGTGATCATTCATAATCGTCTCCTCCCAGGCCCACATAGAAATGTGCATGCAGGAGTATCACGATCATCGGTAATTAACAATGTTTAGTGCAAAAGCATCTGCGGCGAAAGCCACGACAATGGCCACCAGGGAAGCCCTCAGTTTGGCAAACAGATGCACAGTTGGTTGTACTCACGCAAGTTCCCTTGAACCGATTACTCTGAGACTCACAGGTCCTAGCCTCAGCAACCATTGGCCCCATCATCCCTGCAAATCATTCCAAACATATACATTAGTTAATCCCAACAGTTGAATATATATATATATAGTTTACAAGTTAACCGGAGGAAAGACAAGAGAAGAAGCCTAAATATTACCAGCAGCTGCAAGAAGCAGAAAGAAGACGAAGGCAGTTGAAAATAAACGCATGAAGCGCTCCATATCTTTATAATGTATATGTATCTGGTGAGGTAGCTAGGCTAGCTTAGTTTGTATATCGATGTAAAAGATTACTAAGCTTGCAAGCCCTTATATAGATAGATAAGAGTTGTATGCCATTGAGAAGAAGAGTCAAGAAATGAAAAAAAAAGTAATTAATAAAAAGAAAGAAAGAAGAAAAAGAGGAGCCACACGTACTTCTCTGTGACTCTGTGTCGATACATAATACATTATTGGGACTAGTGCAGCAGCGGTGACTTGTCACTGCGTGATCTGTGCTCTCTGCCAACATATGACGACAATCCAAGGTCCATTGAGCTGTCAAACGTCTTTTCTTCTCTCTTGGCTTCACTCATCGTGGATATCCCTAGCTACCTCCCTCTGGATTTTGAAACCATTGTTTATGCCAAGCATATGCTTATAAGTTATATATGCAAATGCTAAGCCTAAAATAATTTTTTTATAAATTAATTATCGGTGTACAACTTGTTATTTTAGATTTGGTTTTAATGTCCTATGTATACAATAAAAGTAATCAGGGCTTATGATGAAAAGATGACTTTACAAGATTAATTGAACAAAATTAGTTTCAAATATTGGTAAACAGCTTGGAAAGGACTCGTCCTACCCAAAAAAAATCAAGATTAGTGAATATCAGATTACTTTTTTGGCATGTGATATTTTTCTTCTTTATGTAAGGAGGGAGAGCACTCCTACATTATTGACAGCATTAATCAAACATATTTGGTTTATTTTAGATTTTAAATTAGGTTTTGAGTTTAACAACTATTATATAAGTTATTTTCTCATTTGGATGTCCGCACGATATTATCGTGCAGATACCATTGTAAATATGAAGGAAAATATAAAGTAATAGAAAATACATAGTGTTCACACGGTAATAACGTTTGGATGTCTGCATAGGAGAATTTATGTTTTATCCATATATAATATATGGATTGAAAATAAACTCTATATTTAACTAATTTCAATCACTGGATAACTCAGAACATTTAGATGAACATGCATAAATCATGAAAAGATTGTTTCCATCAAATCTAGCTTTTGAAAAGAAAGATATTGTGGCCTTAATACAATATATAAAGTAACCAAAAGGAAATATCTTTGACACGAATACGAAAATGTCGTAGCTTTTGATCTCTTTGTTTTTCAATTGTCGGCATGTGCCGACAAGTGAACTTTTCTAGTTACCCTCCCTTTCGTTCACATTTAATCGAAGAGAATTCTGTAAAAAGTTAAAAGGCCTATGTATTGTCAAGATTCCAGCATCCATCCCATCAAATTCCATCTCGGCTAGGGCTATTTACTGTTGAGCCATTGGGCGGGGGGGTAGTTAGGCTTAAAGTTCTTGGGCTACTATTTCGTCCTTTCTTCAAAAGATGTTGGGATACGATCCAAATCATAGAAAGAATCAAATTGTTAAAAGGTGGATAGAGCCCAAAATTCTAAAGTGAGATTTCGTGCCACGTGGCCCATCCATACAAAACTCTAATGAGAGAGAGAGAGAGAGAGAGAGAGAGAGAGAGAGAGAGAGAGCGCCAAATTTAGCATAAACAAGTGTAGATTCATGCGCCCTTTGCATGAGTATATACATAATAAATAGTACACTACAAAATCTGCATCCCCAATTCCCCATCCATTAAACGACACCTCCTAAGTCCTGGAAACATGTATAAACAAAATTACAAAACCAAAAATTCCCTAACATGATTTCATTCATTCATTCATTCCCAAGTAACTGAGACCATAGAGTTGGCAAGCCCCGACTCTTCAAAAGTGGATTGACAATCATAATCCAGACTCTTTGAAGCTCCTGGGATTGCCTGAGTCAACCGAAATGGCCTTGTCTCAGCTTCCTTGAGTTGGGAATAGCAGAATGACCACAACATCTGCAAAACAAACAATTCAAATTTAGTGACAACCCTAGGAGGGGAGGGGAGTAGAATAGATCCTGCTAATAACAGCCTGTGCTCATCCTTTCGATGGTAGCGCAAGCCATATAAGTCTACTGTGCAAATTTTGTCAATCTCTGCAAGCATTTAATTTTGATAAAAATTATTTACACAGTCAAACTCTCTCGGTTTAGATGCAATTAATTGTTAAATGCTAATCACAATTCAAATCTTTTCCGTTATATACTAATACAAAAAAACTTCTTTCACTTCTTACCTGAATTGGATCAGTGCGAAGGAAATTCCGCTGCACCCTGCGCCCATCTGGAAGACGGACTCCAACCCTGCAAAGGAGGTTCTTATCACCCTTGGGTTCTTCAGGCAAAGGTGGATATGCAGGCGCCTTAGCTGAGCATTTTTCTTCCTCCTTGTCAGTAATGATTTCATCTTTATCTTTGGATATCCCACCTGTCTCCTGCATGCCTTCCATTGAAGCTGCCAATGCGCGCTGCACTTCCTCGTCTTCTTCATTAGTTTCGTCTGCAACTGAAGCACCTTAAGTCATACATGCAGCTCATCTACGAAAAAAATAACAAAAGAAGAAAAAGGAAAGGAAAGAACAAATCCAAAACAAGTTTTCGAGAGCAGATCTAGAATGCATCATTCAGCTGCTAGCAAAGATGGATACAAATTCAGAGATGTCACGGCTTTACGAATTTGATGGTATGTACAAGCAATCACCCATCTGAGCCTCTTAGTAAACCACATACAACACGAATACACAAAGCACCATCGCAGATACTGACACAGGTATTTAATACAGAAGAAACCAAGCATATTTTCATGAGAACACAAGAAACCAAGCACATTAACCAAGAGATATGTCAATGTCAATACAAAACTATTCAGACAAAACTTCTCTCTAATATCACTACAATCAAGCTGAAACAATCACTCATACAACAACATAAACAGCAACCCCATTTATGAAATCAAAAGGAGCATCAAATAATGAAACAATATGTAAAATGGGAAAACAACTATAATTTCAGCTGCAGATTTTTCTTCTAAAGCATACTTCAATCATTCAATCAGTTAAGCATATTAATGTCATTTCACTTCATATTACACTTTACAAAGGATTTCTTTTTCCTTTTTTTCTACTACCCCAACCCCACTTTGTTGAGTTGGAACAAGGATTAGGATCAATCAGAGAGGTTTACCCATGCAATAATTTGAAAAATAATAAAAATTCAACAGATTCAAGAAGCAAAATGGTTCACTGCAATGTAATATAGCAGAAGATGTTTGGAAGCCCACGCATACCTTTAGTTTTCTGTGGCTGAGGCAGAGAACTTTCTCTTGGGCGTTTATGGGACAAAGTTACATGATGGTCCCTGGGGCCACTATCCAAGAAGGGTAATAGATCCTACAGTGGCAAGGATGTTTTCATGCCAAAATTGAACTTCAAAGTAAAAGTTTGATCATTGTAGGAAAAGGTTTCCTAAGCTCTCTAACAAGAGAAAACTTTATACTCAACTGTGAAGATACAATGTACGCCATGGCATTTACCTCTAGCAAACATTCTGGCTGAACCATTCCATTCCATGAACGCATTCTTTGCCCAGTAATGGGGTCAATAATGAGAACTACAGGCATAGATTCCAACTTGTAGTATGTGCAAACCTTCCTGCCTTCAGTTGTATCATCATATGTCTATATTTGCAGACCAACATCAAACAGATGAAGCACAAACAAAAACGGTTGGTTAAATCAGAAGCATAAAGGTGATCCAAAAGATTCATGTCCACATACGCTGTCATACAAATTAGGAAGAAAAATCCACACAAAGATTAACACAATTAAACATAATCTTCACAATTCTGAAGTCCAAAAAGAGATTCTAAGAGCATCTCCAAGGGAGATGTCAAATATCAAACATCAAATTTAAATTTGATGGCTGATGTGGCAATTTGACATCTTACACAGCTTTACACTCCACCCGATATGTCAAATTAAATTATTACTTTATTACATTTTAGTGTTGATTCATTTTTAATTAATAAGAAAAGAAAAGAAAAAATAATAAAATATTCATTTGACATCTTGCTTTTGGGATGTCAAAAATAACATCTCAACCTCCAGCCTTTATTCCACATCAGCTTTGACACATCGGTTGGAGTGATGTGAGATGTTATTTTTAGCTGTTAAATGTTTATGTGGCACGTTTGACACATCGGTTGGAGATGCTCTAAGAATCTTGGCAGCCTTGGATAAAAAAATCTCAACCTTTTAGAAACGTTTGGTTCATAGATTAGCATATACTATATTCCTAACAAAACGTCAAACCATCTATGGCAGCCTTGGATAAGATTTACTTGCTATTACACTCCTACCAAGGGAAAATGATAATGCATATGTAATTGCCAACCCAATTACGTATCATTTATCTCGAAGTATGTATATCTAGAGAGCAAATGTGCACATGCATATCACAAGCTTCACACAATACCAAACAATAAAGTTCGTAAGGGAAGATAAGCCAATAACATGTAAAAGGAATTTATCAACAAATAAAACTCATCAGCAGCCTGCACTTGTATAACTAATAAAATAACACAGCTGATTTAATTTAATAGAAAGAAATACCAAGCATAAATACATAATAAATTGTCACTTAAACATGGTACTGACCTGCCAGAATACAAAATTAGTAATAATGGTTTGAGAGACAGCTTCATTGGCCCAGGTGTCTCGATTAAGCTTCACAAAGAAAGGTATTTATACACACACAAGTCTACATGTAGAAAAACAAAGAAACCAACAAACCAAAAATGAAATAGACCGCAGAGAAAATGCCTACCATATGAGAGCTGAACTCTTTAGTGGATTGCAAGTTCACCAGGAGCCATTTGTCCTGGACAGAAGCAGCACCTTTTGCCTGCATTAGTATAAAAAAAATATTCAATTTTATTTGCTCAATGAGTATGAATAACTAAATGATGACTGTATCACTCTACATGTCCCTTGATCAACTAGTATTCTTTGATTTCCGCATCTCATATATTTTGAATCTATATAATTGATCTG